TTCTGTTCTGGCCCTCTTGTCTTTCAATAGTTTAAAAATCTTTAGTCCAAAATAAATAAATAAATTAATAAAAAAAGAAAGAATTAAACTTATTTTTAAATAAATATAATATTAACTATTCATAGATTATAATATATGAATAATCAATATTATTATCATTGGAAAATAAATTTAAAAAGTTTAAGAAAAATGAACATATTTTTTAGTAATATTTTTATTTTTATTCTAAAGCTGAAAAAGATGAGAATTTATATGAGAATTTGGCTATTTTTTGGCACATTTTTTATTTTACATGTCATTTATTAGTTCATAATGTAACTAAATTATCGGATAATGTTACTAAATTATTAGTTTTTTTTTTTAATAATTTTAGTTAGAATAGATATATTAGTCTAATATTTTAATTATATCATCAAATAATTTAATTATATTTGATAATATTTAGTAGAGGTATAAATGAGTCAAGTCGAGTCATTATTGAGCTCGAGCTTCAATCGAGCTCATTCGTTAAACTGCTGCTCGATCGTTGAAAAATCTACCACTCGATCTCAGCTCAATTGTATGAGCTTATTTGGAAAGCTCGAGCTTGATTCGATTGTTAATAAGCTTGATTTTTTAATTCTAAATTAAAATGTATTTTTTTAAGAATTTTATTTTAAAATATAATTAATTTAAATAGATTAAAATATATTATGTCATGATAATTTAAATTAAATTTAAATATATTTTAATTTTTTTGAGCCGAGCCACACAAAACTCAAGCTCGAGTTTTTTTAATATACAAGCTCTAGTATATGTTAGAGATTGAACTCGTGATTCGATAAACTTAATTTATATTCTCATTAATGAGTCTAGCTCGAGCTGACTCATCTAACTTTTATATAAAAATTAATTTAATAAATTTATGCAATTAAAAAAAGGGGGATTTACAAGCATACCATTATATAACACTCATATTACATATTTAACACTTCAAACTTAAATATTTCATTTATACCACTCAAACACAAACATTAAATCAAAAATACCACTATGCAGTTTATTGAAGCATAACAGTTGCTGTTTTACTTCTCTGTCACTGGGCAAAACAGCGGATGGCTGAAACAGAATTAAGCTTAAACCAGAACACATATTACAAGCATTCAACGCAAAAAGGAAAATACACTATATGGAAAATACAACTGTTGCTCTGAGGCATTCTCGCAAGCTTGCAATAGGAGTGGATTTTATCGGGATTTCACTGTCGTTTCGTTGAAGAAACCCTAAACCTGTGGAGAAAACAACAAGCAAAGGAAGGAGTTTGTTGGGAAGAGGATGTCCAGTTTCAGTTGTGCGGGAGGAGCTAGAGGAGCATGGAAGCCGCTTGTGCGGTTAGGGGTTGGTGCAGCTTTCGCGAGAAACCAGTGCTCATGCAGGACGAAACAGAAGGAGTGAGATTTTGTACCTACGGAGTGGTATTTTTGATTTAATGTTTGAGTTTGAGTGGTATAAATGAAATATTTAAATTTGAGGTGTTAAATATGTAATATGAGTGTTATATAGTGATATGTATGTAAATCCCCTTAAAAAAATATTATGATTTTTTTTTGTTTTTAAATTTGTTGAACGAATTATCTATCTGGCGCTCTCTCTATGTCGTCCACACGAATATTTATGGCCTGCGGACGGGTCTGAGAATTTCGGGATTTGTGTCCGTTAACATCGGATGTCCTCACGTGCAGCGGCGGTGGTAAGCGAAATAACTGAAGGGCGGAGGATCAGAATCCGCGGTTACGACAAGCCAAATCTCTACGTCCCGCTCCTCTGCGACCGAAAGGTAAACGGGCCAGGGAGGAGGAGAAGAGAGAGAGAGAGAGAGAGAGAGGCGTACTTCGATTGACAATGGTGATGCCACTTTCGTATCTCGTCGGAGGCGTCGTCGCCTTTCTATTGGGCTTTCTCGTACTGATCAGATCGCGGGATGAGAAAAAGAATAAGCCTGCCAATGCCGGCGTTCCGGCGGAGATTTCGAAGGCTGGTGGAGGCGGCGGTGGGGGTGAAAATGGTTCTGCGGATGATGGGGCCGATGTCATCGTCGTTGGTGCTGGGGTTGCTGGATCGGCTCTTGCCTACACTCTCGGTAAAGTGAGTATTTCTTCTGACTTGCTCCCCTGCATCTTGTTTGCTTCGTCTGGGAGGTTTGATTTAGGTTTATGTTGGCGAGATTTGATTTTCTTGCTGATATTTGTGGGCATCCTCGTATTGTTCTGTCAATGCGGATGTTTTTTTTTTCGGCGTATTTTCAAATTGATTGGTTCTTTGCTTTTTTGGCATGAAAAGGAGGTTGCTACGAGAATTGGGAGTTATGGTGATTAATGGCAATTAAGATTTTAGAACGATGGAAGAGGAACAGAAAATTACTGAGCTCATGATTTCTGGAGTATTATTAGTTTCTTGTGTCTGATTAATTCTAGTGTGGTTTTGGCGATTATACTAAAGAATGGAACTCATTTACATTGGCCCTGTTATTCTATGAAACTGCTGCTTAAGATTTGGCTGAATGGTTATTGGAAGAGATTTGAAGAATTACACATTTACTTTGCAGAAAAAGCGGGGTTACAAAACCACTTCTTGATGCGGTGATGTTAAATGGGCTAAATTTGTTATGTACTTTGGAGAATAAAAGGTAGGGATTTACTTTGGATGATGAAAGGGATTGCATGGAGCGCTTCTTGACGCCATGAGGCTAAATGGGCTTAATTTATGATTTTGTGAGTGTACTTGTGTATGCGTTATTGCATTACAGATGCGAATGAATGATATAAGATGTGCGAAAATTGGATTTAATTGTTTGTTAGGCTCAAGATGAGTCCCAAGGTCAATTCCCCAATGCTTGAGCTCCTCATTATTCCATTCCCAGACTTGCATGTCTTATTTACGTTAGCAGTTTTGCCCAGGTAAGTTATTCCCTTCTTTCTCAACTGCAATCACCATATAAAAGCAGAATGATTGTTGTTATTTGAAATGTTTCTAAATATAATATGAAAGTGTAATCAGCTCTTTACAGGGAACTTAGCAACTACTATTAACTCTTTCATGGCTAGTAATCCTAAGCTTTGCCACACTAATATGATTAAAAAAAAAAAATCAATTATTCTGTATAGCTTTGGATCTTTGTCTTGTCAATAACTGTCATCCATGCATATTATAGTGGGCTACGAGAATTTCTGATTTTTTAAGTAGGGAATACTTCATACTATCTTCCTAATATATTCCTTTCTTGTTTCTTCTTCAAGCCTATCCGCTTTCAATAAGCAGGGAAGGGGGTATTGGAGGAAACATTGGAAAGTGACCTTAATAATATGCTTTCAAAGCCTACTATCCATGGTATGCTGATCAAGAGCATATATCTAGACAATCAATATGCTCGATATGGTCATCTATATTTTTTACACTGGCATTTCAGTTGAATCTTTTTTTCTTCCACTTTCATAGGTAGTAAATGGTATGTGCTGAAGTTTTTCTTCAATTTAATATTAGGTGCTTGTGTTTTTCCTTCTAAAAAAACTTGATTTGTTTTATCCGCTTTTCAAATAACTGGCAGTGCATGAGCAGTTTAGATTCTATGAACGGTACCTTCTAGATAGTATGGTAGTTTTAAAGTGATAATCTTGTGATCTTAATCAGTTGCCTCATTCTATGCTTTTATGTGAAGCAATTCCTTGTTTCAATGGTTGAAGTTAGTCATAGAAATGCGGGGTAAGCAAATAACTTGAATTTGTAGCAGTTTTGATAGTATTGAGACTATGATTGCCATTATAAACCGTCATGTCATATGTTTGTGTTCTGATATTTGAAATATTTTTAGATTCACATTTTGATTAGCATTCATTTTAACTAGCCTGATTTTCAATTCTGCATGTGACAAACCATAGGATGGGCGCCAAGTGCATGTTATTGAGAGAGATTTGACAGAGCCTGATAGGATTGTTGGTGAACTTTTACAACCAGGAGGCTACCTCAAATTGGTTGAGTTAGGCCTTGAAGGTAGTCATTGAATTTTATGTTGCATCCTCTTTACTGTTCTCTTTAGGACCATTTTTCAGCTAATGCTTTCTCTTGCACCCTGCAGATTGTGTTGAAGAAATTGATGCGCAGCATGTTTTTGGTTATGCTCTTTTCAAAGGTGGTCAGAATACCAAACTCTCCTATCCCTTGGAGAAATATGGTTCTCATGTTGCTGGGAGGGGCTTTCACAATGGGCGATTTATACAGAGGATGAGAGAAAAAGCTGCATCTTTACCCAAGTAATTCTATTCTCTCTCCCTCTTTTTTCTTTTTGATTCATTAACCATGTGCAAGATCTATATAAGTTCACCAAACTTTGAAATTGTTTTAGCCGATTCACTTATAACAAATGGAGAAGTGAAAATAATGTGCAACCCCACTTGATGCTTTAACTTTTTCAATTCCTTTATTATTTAGAGCATTTATTTTCTTAGAAGATTTTAATTCTACCTGTTGTTTGCACTGGGGATTGAATAGTAAACTCTGTTTACAGTTTCAATTTGGTAAAAAAAGTACACTTGCTTTATTTGATCCGATCTTTCATTGTTGGTTTGTCATTTCTTTATTCTTGTTCATTCTTGCTTTGGTATATATATATACAAGTAGGATCTCAAAAGATTGTCACAAGAAATTTTGAGAATCAAAATAAATGTTGTGGACTTCCGTAACTTTATAGGTAAATGCGTGGAAAGAAATTGATATTTCATAGATGCTTCTATGGTTTCAAAAGTATTTGATATAGGCTAGTATGGTATGTATGTTTTAAAAGACCATTTCTATGAAATTATGTTTTCTTAGGATAGATTTCTCGGAAGCATGACATATTTTTAGCATGGTATCTATGACATCTAGTTACTCGGAATAGGTTTCCTAGAAGCATGTCATCTATTTTGAAAAATACATTTGCTTATACATTATGCTTTGAAGGAATCTCATGATATGTTATATTTAAATGTTGATGCAAAAGGCTCTTTTTAACACTAGTTGTGAGCTTAGCATCTTGTTGGCATCCCAAAATTTCTTAATTATGACACTTCATGGAGTTGCAACTTTGGATTTGTCAACCTCGTCTGTATTATAAGAGGCATTCATGTTGACTTCCTGAAAATGGTTGTGGATCTAGAAGTCGTCATCATTGGGGTAAAATTCTCTCTATGTTGGTGAAAAGTTTAAGAAATTACCTACGTATATTTATAATGAGTCTGTTGTGCATAACTATGCACCTTTGTGTGTGAATGTGCTTTGACTTGGCCAAAACAACCAGACTTTATGTGATTTTGTACTTAGACTTATTTGTGGGTGTCAGATTTGAGCCCCACCGAAATTCTATGCAAGCCACTTCTTAAGTGTGGCCAAACTCACTCAAAACATAAAGCAAGAATCTAAGCCATTTTCCTTTCTATCTTAAACTCATCTCCAAGTGGATTTTAGCACCAAATCGCCTGAATGAAAAGAGGGAGACCCTTTTTCCCTATATATTAATACAAATAGGTGGAAATGAATCAAATGATTTTAGAGGACAGAGTAATCCTTATTGGTGAGGATAGCCATGTCTTTCAATTGTGAAAGAGAGACTTCCCTAAGGTACAACTTGTAGGTTTCCAGAGCTCTCTGATCTTCATTTGTTAGGTGTCTTCACAGCGATGTTGACTGTTAGTTTGTTTGGAATTTAATTCAAAACCCACACAAATCTCAGGTTTTTGGTGCCATTGAAATCCATCTATCATTTCTTAAGTAGGAGGTCATGTTAGTATTTCCACAATCCCTTGTAGAGTGCTAGGGGAGGGCACTATCATAGTTTTTGATAAATTTGGGATGCAGAGATACTCTTCCATTTATTGTGCGTGCCACATGAAATTGTTGCAAAATTGCTTACCATTGATAGGGCTTGGAAGAAAAATATGTTTAAAAGAAGATCCAAATTTTAAAAGCAAAAGCACCCCCACTTGAACCTGTGCAAGAACTCATTGCCATTGTGTTGCAGTTGAAGCATGAAGATTGGGCTTGGTTGAGTTGAGGGGGAGGTAGAGCACAATTCACCCCACCTTTAATTTGCCTTAAAAAACATGAAAATAGACTAAAACAATACAAAAACATTACAATATGCCAAATTCGAGATCTTTATACTACACATTTTTAATGCTTAATTGCTGGCCTCTATTAGAAAAACGTAATTACATGTCCTACACAGAAAGAATAAAACAACAAAAGCATAACTACACAGGCCCATGCATAATCATGCTTTCATAACTTTAGGCATTCTATCTTGTATGATTCATGAAACAACATGCTTTATGTGTCCCTACAAAATAACGTTGTGAGCGCAATTAGTGGTTAAATTGATATGATTTGATAGACGATGAATGATTGTGAAATTTACCCCTAAATTTACTCTATGTTCCCACTAATCTAGAGCATGAAGATAAGTATACCTCTGTTCATGGGTTAAAGATGTCTTTCTAATAACACTGTAAACAAACTTTACCACATGGTTACCACATGATCGGTCTGATATATTTAAAGAACATTTGGTAAAATACGCTCATAATCAGACTGTAATTAATTTGGACAAGTTTATCCGTGGAAGATAAAGTCAGTGGTGGATTTGAATCATAAATGTTTAGTAATAAGTCTTCCTTATAATGCTTGAAAGTAAACTGAATGGACCTATTTAAAATTTTTATGGAAATCTCGGGACCTGTGATTTTAAATTGAAGTTTGTTGGTATGTAAGTTAGATGATTCATATCTCCGTGATCTACAAGTAATGTTAGTTTTTCTTTTTTTCATGTAGTAGAGCTGTAATAGCAATCTTTTTATTGGGAGATTTATATAACAACAACAACATCAACAACATCAAGCCTTTGTCCAAGTACGTGGGGTCGCTACATGAATCCTTTTTCGCCATTGTGTCCTGTTAAAGTCAAATTCTCATTTAAATCTAATAAAGAAAGATCATTTTTAGTATTTTCTAACCAAGTCTTTCTAGGTCTACCTCTACCTTTCTTAACATAAGTCAAATCTAATACCTCAACTTTTCTAACCGGGTCATCAGAAGGCCTCCGTTTAATGTGACCAAACCATCTAAGTCGACTCTCTCTAATCTTATCTTCCACTGGAGCTACTCCAACCTTTTCACTTATATGCTCATTTCATATCCTATCTCTAAGGCTAAAGCCACTCATCCACCTAAGCATCCTCATCTTTGCAATGCTTAACTTAGTATTATGCTTCTCTTTTAATGGCCAACATTCGGCACCATAAAGCATTGCAGGTCTCACCACTATCTTATAGAATTTTTCCTTAAGTTTGAGGGGGACTTTTCCATTGCACAACAAGCCCGATGCATTCCTCCACTTCAACCAACCAACTTGAATTTTGCTGATAATATCCCCATCGAATTGACCATCACTCTGAACAATAGATCCAAGATATCTAAAACGTGTACTTTTATTAATATCTTGATCGCCCAAAGTCACAATCCGAAAAATTGTCTAATAAAATCATTTATTTGCTCTTGTCATGGTCAAACTGATAGTTATTTGACGAAATGGTTGATATTTTTGTTGTCAATTTTAATATTTGAGTGGGAATTTGATGAATGGTGAGTCAGGAGGGTGTTAGTTTTTAAATACACAGGATTTTGGGGTAGTTGTTTGGAAATTATAACTCAAGTATAGCTTGAGCAATTTATGATCTGGTTCTTTGTGGCTACCAATGAGCAGAGCTTTTTTCCAGGATCCTCTTACTGTTTATGGTTTGGTTGAATCAATAACATATGCAATACTTTCTTTAGTGTTCGGATGGAGGAGGGAACTGTCACATCCTTGCTTGAAGAAAATGGGATCGTCAAGGGAGTGATATACAAAAGTAAAGCTGGTAATGAGATGAAAGCTTTTGCTCCACTGACCATTGTGTGTGATGGTTGCTTTTCAAACCTCAGGCGTGCTCTCTGCTATCCAAAGGTGAAATTATTAGTGGCATCTTTGTTTATTTGCTTTCACATGATTTTCCTTCCATGATAGCCCTATTGCTTCTCAGCAGGGGAAAATTTCCATCAACTTTTTGATCAAGTTGTATTTGGTTTATTTTGACAATACCTTTGTTAGATTATAACTTTATTTGTTAGGTGGATATTCCATCTTCTTTTGTTGGCTTGATCCTCGAGAATTGCAAACTTCCATTTTCAAATCATGGGCATGTCGTCTTAGCAGATCCTTCCCCCATTCTTTTTTATCCCATAAGCAGCACAGAAGTTCGTTGCTTAGTTGATGTACCTGGAAGGAAAGTGCCTTCCTTAGTAAATGGGGAAATGGCAAATTATCTGAAGACCGTGGTAGTACCCCAGGTTTGTTCTGATATCATTATGGGTTTTTAATGATATTGTGGTATTAGTTTTGTTGCTTTACTCCAAAAACATCAAAGTAGTATTATATCCAATTCTTCTTGCATTCAGTTTTACCATAACAGAATCACTTAACTGCTTCAGATACCGAGTCAGCTCCATGATGTCTTCATTGAGGCTGTTGACAAAGGAAAAATTAGAACCATGCCAAATAGGAGTATGCCAGCTGCTCCTCTTCCTACACCTGGAGCACTTCTGATGGGTGATGCATTCAACATGCGACATCCACTAACAGGTGGGGGAATGACTGTGGCATTGTCAGATATTGTGGTGCTACACAATCTACTTAAGCCACTGCGTGATCTCCATGATGCATCTTCTCTGTGTAAATATTTGGAATCCTTCTATACCTTGCGTAAGGTTTGTCTCTAAACTTTTCATGGCTTTTCTAGGGCTTATCTAGCATGAATGGATTTTTTTTTTTTCAACAAACTAGCAGAACTCCATCGCTCTTAATTGTGCAATTTATTTTGAGCATCATATTTTTGGGCTTTATTTGGGACGGCTTTTTTATTGCTTCTTAAAGCTACTTTCTAGTTAAAAAAAAAATTGTATTAAAAAGCTGCTTTAAGAAAAGTAAGAAAGTCGCCCCAAACGAAATGTTGCTCGACTTAATCACTTGCATGACTTGCTGCTTTTTTGTAGCCCGTTGCTTCTACAATAAACACTTTGGCTGGTGCGCTGTACAAGGTTTTCAGTAGTTCACCTGATCAGGCTAGAAATGAAATGCGACAAGCATGTTTTGATTATCTAAGCCTTGGAGGCACTTGTTCCACCGGACCTATAGCCTTACTCTCTGGTTTGAACCCACGTCCACTGAGCCTAGTTGTCCACTTCTTTGCTGTTGCTATATTTGGGGTTGGCCGGCTCTTGTTTCCATTTCCTTCGCCAAAGAGAGTGTGGATTGGAGCTAGGTTGATTGCTGTAAGTTGGTCTTGACTGTTTCTCTCCTCAATTTTGTGAACTAGCCTAAGTTGTCATGGATCCTTTTCATAAATTAATAGTCAGCATATGCTTAGTGTTTCTTTCATTTATTTTTCAATAAGAATGGTATTCCCAGAAGTTCGTCTGAATTGATAGCATTTTCTTGATTCCGTTACATTCAAAGCTCAATTTTTCTTGTTTTTAGCTAATGCATATGCATATTTAAACATTTTACCGTTATTACTAGCATGATTAATCAAGTTGTGAACCAGCTTTATGATAAAACCTGTAGAATTAGACTTGTAGTGGATCAGTTCGATAACATTATTCCGACATTCTTTGTTTAAAGATGATTCTCCAGAGAGGCATGATATATTGAAAACAGTGATTGCAGTCTGGATTGCTATCTTTTGCTCCTTTTATGTCAATTACATCATGGAAACCAGTAAGAGTAGGCGTAAACCACATTAATTATGCAAATCAAGTGCCATTTTCCAATATCAACTATAACAGCCCAGGATATCTGCACCCTCTCTCTCTCTCTCTCTCTCTCTCTCTCTCTCTCTCTCTGTGAAGTGTTGGTTATATTCATTTGCAGCGATAACCCATTTTGCTTGCTTGCAAACCACTAATTATTTCCTTTAGGAACATAATTGATTGTGTCATTTAGTGGACTTAGAAGGTCGTGTCTGTTTGAGACCCAACAGGGCCAGTGATTTGGGTGAGTCAAGTGGATGGTCGAAGCTGAGTTGGTTATGTTCCCTTTTGCCCACTAGGTTTTGAGTGACTGTTCCATTATTTACAACCAGCTGGTTAGAATTTAATCAACCATTGATGGGCTAGTACTTATGCTGCCATATTTACGTTTTATAAGGGCAGTTCTACTGCCCACTGGGTGATGGAAGCAAAGACGTATAATAAGATTCAGAAACCTCACCAGCAAATGCAAATAGCAAGTACTAGAGAGTAGAGAATTGAAAGTGTCTCGATCTGATAATAGATTTGCAGCATTGAAAGTGAGATCATTACTGATTTTAAAAGGCGAATGTTTTGTAGCTACTTATTTTTCATTTTAGAACCACGATTGAACTCATGTAATTTCTTGTCATGCAAATGCAAGATAATCGCTATATGCATGCTTTGGAACTACAGTAATAACTATAAGCTGTCTGGCTAAATCATAAAGAGGAAGCAAATCAAAAGAAACTTAAAAAATGTGGTCATTTGATTCCATTCTACCAATACCATGTAGGGAATCTAAAGTTTAACAAAATGAAAGTAGGTAAACTGTAAAGTCAAATAGCCCCTTTTAAGAATAGTAGTCCATATGGGGTAAATGACAACACTCTGATCTTTTTCTTAGTATCAATGATGTAGTGGTTGCAGTTGGACTCTAGCTTCCATGAAGAAAGTTGGGAGGATAGAGTCCATGAAGTTTAGAAAATTTTATAGGTTGGTAAATCAAGGAAGGAGTAATTTCAACGGATATTTTACCAGGTCTAGTAGCAGCTATAGGTTTAACACCTTATTCAACGCTCAGTAAAAATTATTAGAAAATGAGAATTTATAAAACTGATCTTAAAAATGATTAGGAAATGAGAATTTATAAAATTGATCTTAAATAATTGGGATAAGACTAATGATAAATATTCCTTCAACTTATTTGGGTTTCAGTCTGCCAAAAAAAAAAGGAATGAACTGGGTTTAATCTTAAGTGGGTGTTTGGTATAGGATTGGATTCAATTTTAGTAGGATTTACTAAATCCTGTAAATCCGGATTTAGTAAATCCCGGGCTCTTAAATCCTGAATTGTGTTTGGTATGACAATTTTTAAATCCGGTTAAATCCAGAAAGATGTTTGGCAACATATTACATGATTTAAAATAGTTGGAGATTTAAAATTGAACGAGTAATATAAAGCCACTTAATTCGCTTCCGCATCAAGTTATAAAGTTGTTTGCCATTAGGGAAATAATTAATTATTTAACTAATAAGCCTACTAATTATTTTTTTAATAATTCTACTGCTCATTAATTATTTAATTATTATTTATATTATTAATTATATGTTTAATAATTATATTTTAAATTATATTAATTAAGATAATTATAGTAATTTTTAATTACTAATTATATTACTAACTATTTAACTAAGTTAAATTAGATAATTAATTTATACACTAATTATACTATTTATTATTTAATTAATTTACTTAGTTATTAATATTTTAAATTATATTAATTAAGTTAACGAGTAATGGCTGAGGCGTCTAGGTTTGCTTTTAATCTTCTCTTCTTCGTTCGTTCTTGCTGTTGGGCTTCGTTGCTTCGCAGGTGTAGAGATTGCACGAGTCGTTTCTTCGGCTCCTTCGTTGTTGTTCAACTGTGTGTAGAGATTGCACGAGTCGTTTCTTCGGACGTTACAACATTTTGATCTGAAGCTACGACGTTAGCTCGCTCGCTGTGAAGGTAACTTTCTCCCTTTCGCGCGCTTCTTCCGCCAAATCCCGTAAATCCGACTTCTAGCGGGATTAGGATTTACCGGGATTTACGCCATAAATCCGCAAATCCGGGATTTACGTATTTGCCGGATTTACTGCGACTTTTTTTGCGTTTGGCTGGATTTACCGTAAATCCTAATAAAAACTCGAAATAAATCCGATACCAAACACCCCCTAAAGGAGTTTGTTAGTTATTCATGTTGTCAGAAAAAGTCAAAAGAATAGCTGCTTAACTATAATCATACTTGGGAAAGGTTCAAAGCTTAGTGATTATATTTTTCAAAGGAACAGGCAAAAGTTATGAAGCTTTTTGGTATAAGATGCAATACTGATAACTAGACTTCGAGCTTGTTTATTCTGGAAAGAAAATGATTCAAAGGCCGTATGGAGATGATTATACTATGCGGGCACTTCTTCAAAATTTATATTACACTAATCTCCAAGCAATATAAAAAATTTGGTTAGAATATCCTTACCCGTCTTGTTTCCATTTTTCAGTATTAACTCAGATGTTGAAAATGTTTTAGATTTTAAATTTTGTTTTACATCTTTCTCAGTTAACGTATACTTCATAATTTAGAATTCCATTGCAAGCCATGTATGAATGTTACTATGATACTGATAGAAAACACGTACCCAAGTAGAAAAATTGTTATTTTCGGAAGAAAACAACTTGTTAGCAGCAACCTTGAAAAAACTGTGAAAATCCGAGGGAACAATGAAGGATTTCACTAACGGATGCAGAAAAACAGCAAAAGATACTCATCCCTTCAATTCGAGAGGAATAAACGACTCTCCAAATCTCTAGACGAGAGACTAGAGCCCAAACACAAGAGATCTCAAATTTCTAATTCAAATTCAAGATGAAATCCTAATTCTCCCAAAAGAAACTAATTAAAGACAAAGAAAAATTACAAATTCCCTAAACAGCCCATTAATTCAAAAATTTCCCTCCAAAACAAGCTTAATTAGCATGTAGGCCCCCCATAGTAGCAGTCGGCCCCCTCTCTCTCTTCCCTGGTTCCGCCCAACACCTTGGGCCGCTGGCTGTGGGTATAAACCGGTCCATTAGGGACCGGTTCAACTGGCCCAGGAGGGGCCGGCGACCGGCCTAACCAATACTATCACGATTATCGCTATTACTACATTGCTTGGCTATTAATTTGAATTCTCTATTACCTCTTTTTTTTCATCATTTTTCCACTAAAGATCAACTATGTTACATTGGCTATGGAGTTGGAGCCTCTATTGCCTCCTTTTTATTTCAACATTTTTTCCACTAAAGATCAACTGTTTTATCCTTTCTAGAGCGCATGCGAAATCATTCTCCCTATCATAAAAGCAGAGGGGTTTAGACAGATGTTCTTTCCTGCAACTGTTCCTGCGTATTACAGAGCTCCTCCTACAAACTGAAACAATCCAAAACACAAAGAAGGAAAAATCTCGTGGGTGAACTTCCAACAGGTAAGCGTTTCATTTTTCCTATTTGGGAGTTCAGTGCATTGCTTTTCTCATCAAGATAGATAGTACAATTGAATGTATTCGTTTTGAATTTCTGTTGCTTCTATGATTTATCTACTTTGTTCCTGAAATTGGAGAAATTTCTGTGTAAACTCGTTTTCCCATCAATGAATTCAATTTTTTTTTCAAATAAGATTATCTCACTGCTATATCAAACCAAAATGCTTCTCATATTCATATTGAGAAAGTTGCCAGGTGATTGATTTGCTGAATTTGGCGATTGTAGAGTAGAATCACATGAATTGAGTGCAGTACTATTGGGTATAGTGTTGATTTTTTTTGTTCCAATTTCAGGCTTCGTTTGGGACGGCTGTTCTATTGCTTTGTTAAAGCAGCTTTTGAATAAAAAATTAAAATTTTTTTTACTAGAAAGCTGCTTTAAGAGCAGCAAAAAAACCGTTCCATGCAAAGCCTCAGATGATGATGACAAAGATAAGTCTCAGGCTTTGATTTGAACGACTTTCTTATTGCTTCTTAAATCAATTTTTTTTTATTAAAATATTACTTTAATAAACAATTAGAAAATCATCCTGAATGAAACCTCAATCATTGATGAATGCATTTTTTGTGCTTTATTATGTTTACTTGTATAATTTTCTTTCTTTTTTTTAGGAGATCAAATTGTGCTCTTCTGAAATACCGAACTGTAGAAACCCTCCGGTTACTTTCTCGAAAGCAACTTTGCCAAGCAAGCTGAAATCTTTTCGTCAAGTCGCATTTTTTAGATCTTATCATTACCTAGAAAATTTGAGATTATTTTTCATTATTCAGTTATATTATTTTAATTTGAATAATTTGCTCATGCTCAAAATATTATGTAGAAAATTTGATGAGCATAAACAGATTTTCAAAATATTAATGGTTCAAAGTAACCTCCCTCAAATTTTGTAATATTTTATTTATAATGCTCATATGATTTGTGTTGCAATTATTTATAATTTTATAGTGTATATTTTTTTATGCGGCAAGATTAATTAGTAGGGATGAGTGTACAAAACTAATGATTGATGAAAGTCTTTGGTCTCGAACTAAAAATTACTGATGATTTCACTCCCTCTTATGTGGCCCATCTAGTTAATGTTTTATGTCATTTTTTTTTGTTAGCGGTGATTATATGGAAACTCATATGTTTGCGTGATAGTCTAAAGCTTTATTTGGGTCGGCCTTTTTATTGCTTCAAACTGTTTTAAGTAGTAAGAAAATTATCACAAACGAAGCCTAAGTGGAGGCTATGTAACAAGTATTAGTTAGAGGTTTCAATTTCGGGTCACGGGTAGGGTTCGGGTCAACCCGAAATTGACTCGACATTATTCGGGTCAACCCGAACCCGACCCGTTTTGTCAAATGGCTTGATTTTTCGAACCTGAACCCGATTTGCTTTGGGTCCGGGTCACATGACCTGAATGCCCCGGGATAGACAAAAAATTGCTAGTTTTGGGGTCAAAAAATATGTCAATATTTGATTTTTGGGTCAAATGGGTCAATTTCGGGTTTTCGAATCAAAACGTGTCAGTTTTAGGTTATTGGGTCAATCCGAACCTGACCCGATTTTTGAAACGGATCTATTTGTTGAACCCGAACCCAGCCCGTTTCGGGTCCGAGTTGACCCTAATCCGGAATTTTTGGGTAGGGTTCGAGTTAGATTTTCAGGTCGTGTCAAATATTGACACCCCTAGTATTAGTTATATACATATAAATGAATCCAATCCAAATGCAATAGGATGATTTGGTCAACATTGCAAAACACAATCTAGTAATATTGCTTATGCTAGCAATGCCAATATGCTTTTGTTATTTTTGAAGCTATTCTCATAATGTTGCCAAATAAAGATTCTAGTCACCAGTTAGCACAAGAATGGGATGCAGATCATGCATATGATAGCCTTGCTGTTAACTGTACAAAATCATAAAGAATGTTCAATTGATATTCAGATAGGTAATGAATTTCCAAATACTAATGAGCTTTATTGTTCATTAATGAACCTTCAAGAATGTCCTTAGCATGAATGCATAAACTACTCAATAATTGGGTGGAGTTTGGAGAATCTCTAGTATTTGAAGCTCTCATACTTTTACCTATATGATTATGAATGACAAACATTATAATCACACATCTCAGTCTTCTTTGTTTGGGATAGCTTTCTACATGCTTTTTAAAACAACTTTTAATTACAAAAATTTCTTAAAGTAGAAAATTTTATACTAAAAATCTGCTTTAGAAAGCATTAAGAAAGTTGTTCCAAATGAAGCCTAATTTAATATTAAGTTGTGGCAATAATTCGCATACCATGGAAGCTCTATGAATGATATGTTTAGGACTATTGCTTTTTATGTTTAAATATAATATTTATAAGAATTTAAAGTTATTTAATTAATTATTTATCTTTTAACAAATTTAATATTTTTCATTATTTATCTTTTAATAAATTAGATTTTAAAAAGGAAAATAATTTTCAATTTTTATAAATTTTTTCTTAAAATAATAATTTTGAAGTATAAATAATAATATTATATTTAAAGAAAAAATATAAATATAAATATTTTTTAGTTTTATATTAAATATATATTTAAAATATTTATTCAATATTAAAATTAATTAAAATATATTTTAATTCATTATTAAATATTTAACTATTTTTAAATATTTAATTATTATTTATATAATAATTAAATATTTAATAAAACCCACCGTCATTCCATTATCTCTTTCTTCCCGCCCACACTTTCTCTTCCAGCCCGCTCTCCTTCTATCTCTCTCTCCTCTCATTTTCTCTCTCTGTCGAACACGTCTATTTGTATGACATATTTGCTCATTTTTAAAACTTTAATTAAATATGTTTCTTTTTCTAATTGTCATTATTGACATATTCCTCTCTAAAAATTAGCCACTATTTATTTAGAGCTTCAGCTAAGATACTTTGGCTTTTTTTTCAAAATTTAAATTGGAGATTTCTAAAATTCTTCACAAATAGTGGGTTTTTAAATCCCTTTCATTGATACTATGAGTTTATTTGAAGTCCTAATTAAAGCATCATAGCTTTTAATTCAGGCTCATCAAGTGAAAGATTAATAATTTCTAATATTCTCATATCATCAAGAGACTTAAATGCATCTCGGAAATGAGAGAACTTTGCTCGCAGCCGCGGAAGTAAATACGACGCATCTTTTTTTTTTATTATTTCTTTTTGTTTTTTCAACGGACACGTGTATCGGATATGCACGTCCTTTTGAAATTAAATAGTATTTTAATTGGATACGTCTTTGGCGTATCCGACACGTATCTGTGGAGTATCGGAGGCGTATCCGTATATCGGTGTATCGGATACATCACGCCTTCATAAATAGGTGTATCAGTGCAACATAGATTAGAGCACATCAAGTCACCTCTTTGTTGTGTATCTACTATTTTGCTATGTATCGTAGCTATGTATCCGCTACGTACCGAGCGATATGGCGCGCTCTATTTCACCTCCTACATCTGGTGTCCCCTCACAAAATAATTCCCCCTTTCTCGTATTGTTATTGGAATCTCTGAATTCCCTCAGAGATTCACAAACCTACCTTTTGATACAGAACAACAAGCTCTTCATTACAAGAAGAATGAATGCTTGAAAGAATACAAAGCATCTTACAGAGCTGAGAATAGTTCTGTCCACAGCTAGAAAAGGGAAAACTCCATAGTTCGATCCTTTCCGTCCACACCTACATTTTATTCAATCTGCTCTCCGATCAGGTCGAGACCAACGACCAAAAAGGCGACACCTTGAAAGAGCAAGAAGTAGAAGTGCATCCCTTGAGCAGCGAGCAAGCTGCGGGCGGCGCCGGTCAAGAGCCAAGAGGAGAAAGGCGAGCAGGAGCTCCTTGCGATATATCCGATTATGCTTCTTCTTCGTCGGTTCTTTCCACAGCAGATCTGTTTCTGCTTTTTTCATCGAGCGCAAGTCATGTCGGTGGTTTGGATCGCCGTCAGAAGAGCGGCCGGATTTCTTGGATCGCCGGATTCTCAAACAAGAGGTAGGGGACGATGAAAACAGGGACCTTCTTAGGATTTTGAGGAAGGACATAATTGCTGGAACATAACAGATTAACCAGGTAGGGAGCTCAGCTTCAGGGACAAAGATTGTCATGGGGAGGACGATGCAGAAGAGGGTGAAAGAATAGAACGGTAATATGAATTTTCGGAGGAGGAAGAAGAGGAAGATGAGGTTCATCTTCTTCCATAATGCAATCTGCATTGAATTTGATAACACTTTAAATTTAGTAAGCAAACTAGTATATACATACAGTTTGTGTACACTGTATACACAGTGAGTATACGAGAGATTATTATGTGCGGACCGGACGGGAAGAACTGTCCGGTTTTGGAATTTTTATTGCCTTAGGTTACCTGATGTAGAGATACATCAGGTAGCCTATAATATATCGTCATGTGCTCTTACTCTTTACCGCGCGGCCCGACGACCCAACCCGGAACGAATCCGAGATTACTATGTTCGCGTATTGCTCGGTATTTGCTTGGTATTGCTAGGTACTACTCGTATTTGCTCGGTATTGCTCGGTAATGCTCGGTAATGCTCGGTAATGCTCGGTATTTGATCGGTACTTGCTCGGTAATGCTCGGCACTTGCTTCTGATCAAACTTCGTAGCTTCCGATCCGGTGGGAAGGGAAAGCCGTCGATGGAGAAAAGTCGAACGGCCACGAGTGGAGCCGAAGAAGGACACGAAATGGAGAAGGTTATCTCCACAGCGAGCGGGATCCCGTTTTTGCCTCCGATCAAACTTCGTATCTTCCGATCCGGTGGAAAGGGAAAGTCGTCGATGGAGAAAAGTCGAACGGCCAGGAGTGGAGCCGTAGAAGGACGCGAAATGGAGAAGGTTATCTCCACAGCGAGCGGGTCCCATTTT